TAGAGCTTTGAGACCCACTCTAGAGAAAAAGTGGACTCCCTCCTCTTTGCCCATACAAAATAGGTTTAAGTGTGTGGTAAATGTGTAAAACAAGGTTTTCATGATTGATGCTAATTAGATTAAGCACTATCATGCCTCCTGTGCCCCTTTTCTCATTAACTAGGAAGGTTATGAGTGTGTGAAATACTTATAGTTGACTCAATGAGTAACCCTCACCTATCCAACAAGTTCTTAGGCAGTCTTTTGACCTTGGCTGCAAATTGGAACATTTAAAAAATACTCTATTATCTCTGGCTGAGCATTGTGTTGATACGTCAAGGTTGTAAGGTTGTGGGTTCAATCCCGATCAGCATACATACAAGAATCAACCAATAAGTGGGACAACAAATTGATGTCTCTCTCTCTCTCTCTCTCTCTCTCTCTCTCTCTCTCTCTCCTCTCTCTGTAAATAAATTAAAGTTAAAAAGAGATTTAAAAAATACTGTCATAAGGGAACTATGGAAAATATGATGGTGATGTCCAGAACCATAAGAATTTATGAGAAAAATAAATGAAATAGGTGGTGGTGGTGGGAAGCAGGAGAGGTTTAAGTTTTACTAAAGGATGCCAACTTGGGTTTACCATGATATGAGTAGTTTAGCTGTACCTCATTATTTATTAAGGGCTTTTGTAGTCCCTACGTGCATTATTTACATAAGCCAGTTATAGAAGTATTTGATAGCCTCTCCAGCTTCTCAAGTTTGCACATATGTGTGTTCTTAGAAATCCAATTTAACTAGAAAAAAATATATCTTGAAATTTAAATTAGTTGCTCATTATTCGTGTCTGGCAATTGTCAAAACCAAACATTAATGTATTGAGCCTCTTATAAGTGAAATGTCCAATTTGGTGCTTACACCGCCCACATTGTTAATGCATTAACAATGTTTCTATTTTGTTCCTATGCCTAAAGGTTGTAGTAGTGGGCTTATTTTTCTGAATAAGAAAGCTTCATTTCATCTATTTTCTAACAAACTTTATTAACCTCATGGAGAAAACTCACATGAATATATAATGAATATATTATTAGATTTTTATTAACACTGGTGCCAAGAGCAAAAATCAGCTACCTACATAAATTATTGTATGAAAAGTTAATGAAACCATTTACAATTTATCAAATGTGTATTTGTAATCCAGAAATATACTGATCTTTTCAAGACATAAGCCTTGTATATAAAACAAAAATTAATCTTTCATAAGATCATATATTATCTCACCATCTCATATGTAGCAAGGAGGCAGTTACAGATATTATAAGCCCAAGCTCTAGAGTAATTATACCTCCTCCACTACTTACCAGTTTTGTGGTATTGGGAAAATTACTGAACATTTGCCTCAGTTTTTTCATCTTTAAAATAGAAATAATATCTTCCTTATAGAGTCAGTGTCAGGATTAAAGACAGTACTGTGTGTAATATATATTAAGGTTTTTGTACATATTAATCTTAAATTTTTATGTCTCTATTTGGTTTTTCTAAGATTAGAAGTGAAAGTTAAAATATTACAAGGTTGTTTTTTGTATGGTCCATGTTGCTTACTCACTTTTTAATAGCCATTTATTCCATACTTGCTAATAGCAGAAGATTTTTGCCTTTAACATTACAAGAATCTATTTTTAAAATAATCTAAGTTTTTAAATTGTGAACATTTGTGAGATTATTAGAAGCACAACTTTCATTCAGATGAGATAAAGGAATTTATACTGGGTAATACCAGATAATTATTTCTTTCTCAGGTTCTTATGCAACAGGGCTACGATGCTGCTTGTGATATTTGGAGTCTGGGAGTCCTTTTTTACACAATGTTGGCTGGGTAAGAAACCTTATATATTCAAAATAATTCACATCAATATTTGAATTTCACCTGTATATTTTCATCTAGAAAGAGAACAGATGAAAATAACTTTAAGTAAAATTCTATTCACATTTCAAAATATTGTATATTGTTTTCTTATAAAATTGAAAAACATAAATGTGTTTAATGAGGCAACATTCATATATATAATTTTAAAAGTTTTCAATTGATATTGAATTATTTTTTAAGATTTAATTTTAATTTTAATCCTCACCTGAAGATATTTTTCCATTGATTTTTAGAGAGAGTGGAAGAGAGAGGGAAAGACAGAGAGAAATATCAATGTGAGAGAAACAAATCGATTGGTTGCCTCCTGCACATGTCCCAGCCAGGGCCGGGCCGGGGAGGATCCTGCAACCCAAGTAGGTGCCCTTGACCAGAAAGAACCCAAGACCCTTCCGTCTGCAGGCCCATGCTCTATCCACTGAGCCAAACTGCCTAGGGCTTGAATTATTTTTTTTAAAGTACTTGAATTCTGGCTCTCCTGCCACTAGAGATTTAATAAGACTGAGCTTTATAACAAATCTAAATAGTAACAGAATGCTAAATTACAGAAACACACAGTTGCCTTCTCTTGAAAGGATAAAATCCTACTAAACAAAGTAATAAATGGATTATGTTAAAGTTGGTAATTTACAAGTCTTGTTTTGCTCTAATTATTTTTATTTAGGAGTAAAAATTTATGGCTATAAAAAAGGCTAGATTTAAAAAAATCAATGCATAGAATGGAATTTGAAGAATTATAATAAAATTTTAATGTATTTAGGTTTGACTTTTTAGAAAAGGCATTAGTATAATTAAAATATGCTTGATATAACAGAAGATTTATACATATGAAATCATCACACAATTATTTATTGGCTTGGTGATCATTACGTATGTCATTGTATTCTATGTATTTTATTATTGTTTTAGATATTTTTTAATTGACTTCAGAGAGGAAGAGAGAGGGAGATAAAAAACACCAATGATGAGATAGAAACATTGATTGGTTGCCTTCTGCACACCCAACACTGGGGATCCAGCACACAACCAGGGCATGTGCCCTGACCTGGAATCAAACCATAACCTCCTGGCTCATAGGTTGAGGCTCAACCACTGAACCACGCTGGGTAGGCCCCACGTACTTTTAGATATATTATAAAATTTTGGAAAATATTTAGTTATAGCCCAAAGTAAGTGGTAAAGTTAAGAATAGCTAAAGTTTTCACATGAAACAAGGGATACCATTTCTGGATTGCTGCTTTCAAATATTTACTTTATGATAAACAAAAAATAAATGTTAGTGTATATATGTGTGTTTAGTGTCATATCAACTTTAATTATTACATGAGGAATTAAGACATTAACATGTTAAGACATATTTCTCATACTTTTTAACAGTAAGACTTTTCATTCCTAAATTTGAATACTATTTTCAGTTTCATCTGTTAAAATGGTACAAAACTGATCACTTTCTGTCATTCTATAATTAATTTTTAAGCTACTTTAACATTATACAAGGTATTTGTCTTTCTTCCTTTCCATTAATATTGATCCACATAATAATTTTAATGCTCTAGAGCAGTGATGGCGAACCTATGACACGCGTGTCAGAGGTGACACGCGAACTCATTTTTTTGGTTGATTTTTCTTTGTTAAATGGCATTTAAATATATAAAATAAATATCAAAAATATAAATCTTTGTTTTACTATGGTTGCAAATATTAAAAAATTTCTATATGTGGCACGGCACCAGAGTTAAGTTAGGGTTTTTCAAAATGCTGACACGCCGAGCTCAAAAGGTTCGCCATCACTGTTCTAGAGGGTTTTTTGTTATACTGATATAAATATTTAACTAACATTTTTTCATGGACATTAATTGAAATTATTGTTAACCTGTTTTCACTGATAATATTTATAAAATGCTAATGAATAAATTTGAATCAATAAAAGAAATGCATTTCTATGAATATATAACATTAACAATTTCCTCATGGTAGGTATATTAGGTTTGCTGACTTATGCCCGGGAGAATACAAAATTTTCATGTTTTATTGCAGTCTGATTTTAAGACTAACTTTACATGAAAAGCCACATTTATTTTGTTTTACATGGATTAACTGATCAAAGGCAACAAGACTTTGATATAGACAAGATTCTTCATTTCATTAAATAATTAATTAGGATTAAATTCATTATTTGAAGTATCAAATTTTATGTGCACAGTGAAGGGAATTAATAGATAATATTCTAATTTGCTAGAGTAAATATTTGCATGTAGTCTTATGCTCATCATTTCCAATTATATTTCATATGTATAGTAGGCCCTATGTTTATTAAAATCTATTTTATTAATAGCTATACTCCATTTGCTAATGGCCCCAATGATACTCCTGAAGAGATACTGCTACGTATAGGCAATGGAAAGTTCTCTTTGAGTGGTGGAAACTGGGACAATATTTCAGATGGAGCAAAGGTATAAATGATAAATGTTTGTTACATTAATCTTAAATTGCTGAAATCTTTAAGTTATAGTCCAGTGTGTATGTGCAGAGTATATGATAGTGTTATATGTCAGCGTTTGTTTTTTTTCTTTTTTTATTGTCTAAAGTTTTACATCTGTCTTCTTTTTCCTCAACTGAAACCCTCCCCCCAGCCATTCCCATCCCATGAAAGCCCCCACCACCTCAATGCCTGTGTGCACTGGATATGCCAATAAGCATGCATACAAGTACTTTGGTTGCTCTCTAACCCCCCTCCCCTACCATTGTCTCTGGACCTATTCTTGTTCATCAGATTATGTTGATCATTATATCACACATATGAGTGAGATCATGTGATATTTATCTTTCTCTGACTGGCTTATTTCACTTAGCATAATGCTCTCCAGTTCCATCCATGCTGTTGCAAATGGTAAAAGTTCCTTATTTTTTATAGTGGCATAATATTCCATTCTGTAGGTGTACCACAGTTTTTAATCCACTCATCTGCTGATGGGCACCTAGGCTGTTTCCAAATCTTAGCTATGGTGAATTGTGCTGCTATGAAACATCGATCAGCTGCCTCCTGCACATCTCCTACTGGGGATGTGCCCACAACCCAGGTACATGCCCTTGACCGGAATCGAACCTGGGACCCTTCAGTCCGCAGGCCTATGCTCTATCCACTGAGCCAAACCGGTTTCGGCATATAGGCAGTTTTTATACTATTAAATATTCTTAGAGAATACATAAACTTTTTATCTATAGCATCTAGATATTTATTATTGATGGCTTAGAGATGTCCAATAAAAATATAATGTAAGCCACATATGGTATTTTAAAATTTCTAGTTAGCCACATTAAAAAACAAAAAGAAAATGGTAAAATTAATTTAGTAACAATATATTTAACCTGGTATAGTTAAACTATTTTACATTTAATCAACATAAAAATTAGTAAAATATTTTACATTCTTTGTTCATTTTAAGTCTCTCAAAATTTTGTGTGCATTTTATTCTTACAGCTTCTCTGAGTTTAGGGTACCCACATTTTAAAGGTGCTTAATAGCCACATGTAACTCGTGGCTGCTATATTAGTGAAGTTTCAAAGTAACTGGCCTTAATTAATTTGGGGGCGTGGGAATGGTCAATCCTTGACTACGGATTGTTACCTTTCTAATTTAAAATTTTTAAGTTTTAAAACAAAAGCCCAAAGTTTGTCAGCATGTGTATTATAGGGCCTTGAGGCTTTTAAGCTTCATTTGAAGTAGAAAACAGTTTAAGAAAAGGAATTGTTTATGTTTAATATCTGCTAATGATAAAACCTAATTGTCTCAAGAACACTAGTTAATCTGTAGGGTATATTATGGAGTAAATCTCATATCCTGATCATTGTAGAATGTGATTGCCCACAGAAAAACAGAGAAGGGATTGTGTTTGGATCTTAGCCATAATAACACAGGTATGCTGTGTGGTGTGTTAGAAGGAGCACCTGATTAGAAGTCAGAACTGAGTGCTAATTTTGATCTACTAATTAGCTGCGTTAGTTTTCTCATCTGCACAACGTGGAGACTAAATTCTCCCTGTGGTTCCTTCTAACTCCAAAATTCCATTTCTGTGCATTTTGGTTTATTTATAATTTGTCTTATTTCCCCTGGTAAAGGGGTTGAAACTACTAGTATTATCCATGAACCATATGTATTTTCTAGTCAGCCAGTTTGTGCATCACAAAACCACATATTCACAAGGAACAATTCCAGTGTGTGTGTGTGTGTGTGTGTGTGTGTGTGTGTGTGTGCGCGCGCCTGTGTGTATGCCTCTTGCTTTCCTTTAAAAATGTAACTGGCAACAGTGAATAAAATGCTGAAATACACAGGAATTTATATGCCAATTGTGCTTATATTTTTAGTTTTCTGTGGTATATGCTGTCATATAATAACAATTGTTTTACTTAATTATAGTTCCTTACAAGTTATATTTCCCTTTGAATGCTGTTCTTTCTATTGGTTAGTACCACCACCAGAAGCATACAGAAGATGCTTCTACATGCCTCCTGTCCATGCAGAGTTTCTAGACTGTTTATTCAGTTAAATGGTGGGGGTCATAGTGGAAGCCATGTTAGCTTTGTGTATCTTATTGCTACAATAGTTTCAGCTAACTCCTCAACTCCAAACCCCAGGCTTAGAGAACATTGGAATTAATGCTTCCCTTTTGTAAACAAGGGGAGACAAGGAGAAGAATCTGGCAAACAAAGTAAAAGTAGAAGAGGCAAGAGAGCAATGAAAATGCCATGGCTTCACTCCATATTAAAAATAAACACAATAACACCTTATGAATTAGAAAACTATTCTATCTGAATTTTAGACTATTAAAAATAAGTAACATGTTACTTATTTCAAGTACATATACAATTAATTACCAGCTCTTCCCTTGCCTCCTTACAAAAAAAGAATAATTTCTACTTTTTATCTTACTGTGTACCCATAACAACATTTTATGTGCTTTATTAGAGCTATTATTACATTCTCCCTTGTCATATATTCATTTGTGTACATTTTTAATCTCCTCACTTGGGTGGTTTTAAATGTCATATTCATTTTTATGTTTTCTTATTTTTTAGCCATGAGAGATTTTTAATTATTTTTAATTACACAAGCAATACATGGATATGTTCAGGTTGTAAAAAAAAATCACACAATACATATAAAATTAAAGTCTCCTTCAAGGAAAGAATGTTATTAGCAACATTAGAATTTTAATTTTATAATTTTATTGAACATTTTAATGTTAACATTTTTACAGGTGTCCCCCACTTCCCCCCTTTTGCCCACTTCCACCCACCTGTGCCTCTCCTCCCTTGGTCTTCATCAAACTAGTGTCCATTTCAATAGGGTATACATATATGTTCTTTTTATTGTTTAAGGTATTACATATGTCTCATTTTTCCCCGATTTACCTCCCCCACCACTCCTACCCCGGAGGACAAGCCCCCACCGCCCCAGCATCTGTGTCCAATGCTTATGCTAATATGCATGCATACAAGTCCTTTGGTTCTTCTCCAACCACCCACATCCCCTGCCTTTTCTCTGAAGTTGGGTGGTCTGTCCAGTGTTACCTTGTTTCTGGATCTATTTTTGTAAATCAAATTATATTGATTATTATATCCCACATAGGAGTGAGATCATGTGATATTCATCTATCTCCTACTGCCTTATTTCGCTTAGCATAATGCTCCCATGTCCATCCATGCTTTTGCAAATGGTTAAAGTTTCTTCTTTTTTATAAAAGTTTAGCATTCCATTGTGTAGATGTACCACAGTTTCCAATCCACTCATCTGATAATGGGTACTTAGCCTGTTTCCAAATCTTAGCTATTGTAAACTGTGCTGCTATGAACATAGGGGTAAATATGTCCTTTCTGATTGGTGTTTCTAGTTTCTTAGGATACATTCCTAAAAGTGGGATTACTGGGTCAAATGGCAGTTCCATTTTTAACTTTTTGAGGAAACTCCATACTGTTCTCCACAGTGGCTGTACCAGTCTGCATTCCCACCATCAGTACATGAGGGTTCATTTTCTCCGCATCCTCTCCAGCACTTGTCCTTTGTTGATTTGTTGATGATAGCCATTCTGACAGGTGTGAGATCGTACCTCATTGTGATTTTGATTCAAATCTCTTGGATGATTAGTGACTTTAAGGATGTTTTCATATGTCTCTTGGCTTTTTGTATGTACTCTTTTGAAAAGTGTCTATTTAGGTCCTTTGCCCATTTTTTTTTGATTGGATCACTTATCTTCCATTTAAGTTCTCTGAGTTCCCAGTAAATTTTGGAGATTAAATCCTTATCTAAAATACCATTTGGCAAATATATTCTCCCATGCAGTGGGCTTTCTTGCTGTTTTATTGATGGTTTCCTTTGCTGTGCAGAAACTTTTTATTTTTATGTAGTCCCATTTGTTTATATTCTCCTTAGTTTCCATTGCCCTAGGAACTGTATCGGTAAAGATATTGCTACAACATGTCTGATATTTTCCTGTCTGTGGATTCTTCTAAGATTCTTATGGTTTCCTGTCTTACATTTAAGTCCTTTAACCATTTTGAGTTTATTTTTGCTTATGTAAGTGGGTGATCTAGTTTCATTTTTTTGCATGTATCTGACTAAATTTCCCAACACCACTTATTGAAGAGACTGTCCTGACTCCATTGTATGCGCTTGCCTCCTTGGTCAAATATTAATTGAGCATAATGGCTTGGGTCAATTTCTGGGTTCTCTGTTCTGTTCCATTGGTCTATATATCTGTTCTTGTGCCAGTACCAGGCAGTTTTGAGAATTGTGGCTTTGTAATATAGCTTGATGTCTGGTATTGTGATCCCTCCAACTTTGTTCTTCTTTCTCAGGATTGCTGTGGCTATTCAGGGTCTTTTTTTTTAATTCCAGATGGATTTTTGAAGAGTTTGGTCTAGGTCTTTGAAGTATGCCATTGGCACTTTAATGGGGATTGCGTTGAATTTGTAGATTGCATTGGGTAGTATGGATATTTTAATTATGTTGATTCTACCAATCCATGAACACAGTACATTCTTCCATTTGTTTATGTCTTCCTCTATCTCTTTTTTCAGTGTCCTCTAGTTTTCCGAGTACAGG